GGTAAATAATTAGGTGATAAGTGTACCCCCCACACCGTCCAACTATTATAGTGTTGTTTAAAATGAATTGTGATATAGACTATGATCCAATGTAGTTTGAAAACTCAATCTCAAGCCAGTCTCAATAATTTGTAGGCAAATTTGCCTATAGGACGGTGTAAGGGATAATGGTTAAATGTAACCTTTTTTTTTCTTTTTAAAAGTTTAACAACCTTTTACGCCATGAAGCTTTGTGACATGCCCCATTTTTACAGCAAAAAACGTATATCGAGCGATGAAAGGCTTCAGGCGGGTAATCTTCAGGAGTGTATAGCTATGTTTAAAGATAGTTTAAAGAACTAAATAATTGTTACTAAATAAACTTTTGAGCAAAATTGAAATATAGATACCTGAACCAAAAGTACCATGGGCTTTTTACAAATACCACAAAGAACATTTTCAGCCGTTAAAACATAAGCCGGATTCAACCATGCCTAAGTTTTTTCATGAACAATTAATCAACTCATGCCGTATGATTTTTGAAAAATCTAGTAACTAGGCATTAATTTACCGGTTTTCCCCCAATCTTATTCGGAAAATTATCTGCAGTGAGGGGATTTTCTGGTGGCTCGGCAAAGCCAAGTTCTACGACCTTGGTCGAAGAGGTTGCCATGGCCAATAAGGAAAACCTTATCAGCTGCATTTGACGAGAAGATTTTATTGCGACCAGTGTAGTACAAAATCATAAAATTAGGAAATCGCTAAGGCGGGGTTACCTTTTTAATACATTCATATAGGAATACCGTTTATACGTATCGGTATTATCAAGAATATGACTTATGCAGTATGTAGATTAACACATCGAATTTAACTTAGTAAATTCCTAAGACATCCGTAGCGAACGCTACCTTTACTCTTACTTGTTGTATTTTGAAAAGTAACTCTTTTATTACAAAAATATTGCTATCACTTGACAAGTATGAAAAAATTTCAATTGGTCTCTTTAGATGAACTTTTGAATAGTTGAATCAATACCAATTTGAAGAGAATGTCCCAACGTCGCCAATAATCAAGCGCGTAATTAGGTGGTCAATCTATAGAAAATTTTGATTAATGATACTAATACTGATGCGTCGAATGAGTCGGAAAGCCATGTGACTGCGCTCTCGATTATCGATGACGCTGGAACCAACAAGAGAATATTCATACCAATACCAAAAAAAAAATAATAATAAAATTGCGCTAATGAAATCACCAATCGTGATGAAATTATTCCTTTAGTATCTTTAAGTCCTAGATGTCAGTTCCTCCATATTTAAGATATAGGTTTGAAATTTAAAAAATGTCATTACAACCAGGTATCAGTTTATACAGATGTCATTATAACAGGGTCATGTATGGAATCTGAAGCATTGATGTCGAAGCAAATGTTAAGAAAACTCAGGATGTCCAAATCTTATTCCGTGCATGACATCAAAATTTTGCTCTGCATTACGACAATAAACAGATTAAAATTTTATGCCTTTACCATATATGTAATAATAATACGAATTTATATATCTATATTACCAAAAATAAGCATTGGGCTATGTCATTTTATTAATCACCTTTGCATGTATTCATTATAAATAATTATATACTTATGTGTAATCGTTGTTTTTGTGGAATATAAAAAAGTTTATTTGAATCATAAAATTATAAAATATTAATATCCATGAAAATAACTTATACTTTCGCTTTGTTGTTAAACATTGATATTTTATTCCTTATGAAATCAAAGAAACAAAAAAAAGCAACGAGGAGAGAAAGAAAAGAATTGTAAATTCTTGATTATTGTTCGTTTGCAACCCATATTGAATGAATTCTTCATTGATCATCTTGATATGTAGTCTAAATCCTTTATATATTCCACCGGCCGAAAACAACGATTTGGAAGGACCAGTTTCGAGAATAATTCAGTATAAATACGAATTTAATCTTGATTGGTACCTTTTAACCTTTAAAGGTATGATTAATAAGGGGAAATACACAATTGAATATTGCCCGACATTTTTGACATTTTTTTTATGCAGATGAAAGAAGACAGCCAGAGTGGCAGCAGTACAGAAACTTAGCAGGATGCAATGAGATAATTAAAGAGTTTTGGATGCGTGAAGATGCTGGAACGGCTCCAATGGTTGGCCCTTTTGGATCGTCAAAGTTTTTGCGTTTCACAAATCATAAAACTAGGAATTCTTCGCGTTCTATCCCTAATAAAAACGAAAACGAGAGTGATAATGTAATTATTCATGTAGTCTTAAATTTCTCTAATGTATATTAGAGAAAGATATGTGGTCATAATCCAATTCATAACTATGAACATCAACTCATTTAAATGTTTACTGTCAGGTCTATTTGAAAGATTCCAGTAAGCCATTGGTCAATGATATTCCAAACATTCAAGAGTATGTTTTTGATATGAATATTTAGTATCTTTGTAATTTCATTGGTTTACTTACATACTTTTATATAGGAGGAACACTGAACAAACCGAACAGATGTTATGTAAATCAAGGACCACAGGCATCCTTAATATGAACAAGTAATTAACATAATTAATATGCTTATTGTTGATTTTATATCTAAATATTTCCTTTTTTTTTATTTAGTGAGTGGATAGGATGTTTGGAAAAAGGTCAAAGCAAAACTTTTCTTGCAACCATCCTCTTTAAACCATATCCTGGACATTGCCATGACGCATCGTCCCTGTAAATACATCACATTAAAAAGTGTCAATGTATTTATGAATTGGTGATATCAAACTCTAACTGTTTTTCTAAGATTTAAAAATATCGGAAAAACTCTTTGGATGCGACATTTTATACCATTAACATATGCCAAAGAATTTATTCGACCTGTAGACAATAATGCGTCTTTATTTACAATCGAGGCTATTTACGATCAGGACATGCCTAGTCTTTATATTGAATGCGCTTTGATGGAATGGAGTGAAAAGGCATCTTTTTTTACAAGTTTTATCACTGTTTATTTAGTGTTTAACAACTAAATTTTCTTTAATAAATAGGTCGGAATAATTTGGATTGATGAAACCATGACCTCCTTTTACATAATATTCCCAAATTCTGATCCAGTGTACCAAGATTTTGGTTGCTTGACTCGACCAACTGCACCATTTTTCGCCATTTATAAAACGTTGTTTTCATTACATTCAATCATATTACATAAACATATTAAACCACTGGCGTATGAACCACTTTTTAATGAGCAACAAATTATGATTGATGGATTTATGGAAGCTGAAAACTTTATAAACTTAATGGGTTATCATAAGTTAGTAGAGTGGTTTAAATGTAAACCAAAGTTTATGGATTTTTCAACTGAAAACAATCTGGAGAGATATGAATTTCTAAACTCTGCAAAGTGTTTAGGAGGGATTCATTTAAAAGAATTCAGTGATGAAATTAGATACGTTTTTGTATGTTATTGTTATAAACTCTTTTAAGGGTTACTTTTTCTTTTACTCTTCAACATTTTGTTTTTTGTTACACAGATTCAGGCAAGACAAGAACCACAATACAATTTTATACCACACTTAATGAAGCTCAAAGACTTGCCAAATTGTAAATTTATAGGTTATGGAAGTAGTTGTTGGCCTTCCGGCCCGTCCATAGATTTAGAAGAATGGTTCTTGCATGGTAAAAAGTTTTTTTTCATACATAGTTTCATTTAATTTTGCTTCTTGATTCTTTTTTTTCACCAATAATCTAGGTGGATTCGTAACCATAACTTACGAAACCTTTAATGTACAGAATCATATTTTCGATAGACTTTATAGTGTGTTTCAATATGTAAGTTATTTAATTTAATTTTGAATACAACTTTTCTGGATCTAATCTTATTTTTTTTTATTTATTAGCAGTCGACACTCCATGTTTCTTCAACGTGGAAAGTTGTCATATATAAAAATGTAGAGGATAATCTGATCAAAAATTTTGAAGCATTTCATTGTAGGCAGTAAGTTCTAAGTTACTTTTTTTTTTTTTGTATTTATGCCTTATTTAAAATTTATAGCTTACTCAAAGTTTTTGTTGATATTAATAGGTCACTAATTTCGTTGCGAACGATACGATTAAGCCTGAAAGATGGTACGAGTCGATATTTTGAAGCTGACGAACTTTTTTGTCAAAAAGAGGTGGGTTGCATGAATTAATTATTCTTGTAATAATCAATTATTTTATAACTTTCATAATTTGTTATAGAAACTAAAAAATATGTCAATTATAAAATCCTTGAGTTGTCATATGATAAAATTGCATAATAAACATTGGAAAAAAAAGCGACATTTCATTATTATTTGTGAACCTGATGAAAAAAATCATGACATTATTCCCGTTCCAGGGGTATTTGGTTTTCCGTTTTTTTTTTTTGCTGTTGCTTAAAGTATCGGTATTTGTCGATTCTGAACTTTTTAAAATTTTAGGTAGACAGACTGACTCTACAAGAATTTGAGTTAAAGTTTGGCCCCACTGAAAAAATACTACTTCAATCACCATAGTACATATATTTTTTTCTTTTCATAGCGTTGCAACTATTTTGTTCTTTTTTTATTGATGTCCGCCTGCACAATTTTTAAATTCTTGTGTAGGTTACAGAATTAGATTTTTTCGTTGTGGTTTATTTTGTATATATCATCAGACTTACAATCATTAGCACCTTTCATTTTTTGTCAAATTAAATAAATATCGTGTAAAACTTGTTTTGTATTATTGATATAACTTAATAGGCGTCAGTTGATATTTAGAATAAAATCATATCAAAAGATTTGTACTAGGTTATAAGTGCAGTGTTCAATAAAAAAAAAAACAGTTATAGCGCCAATGACGATGCTCAACACACATTTTTAGCATCAAAAAAATTTAAGTTGGATTATTAAACTTTAGTATAGGTGGGTAGACTTATAGCGTTAAAAAGATTAATAATTAATACCGGTAATCAGTAATCACGTCTACTTAAACTATACTAAATAAGATTTTTGGTTTAAAACTTTAACTAATTCAATAAATGCTACAGCTGATTCAGCTGTAGCATTTATTGTATTAAAGTTTTAAACCAAAAATCTTATTTAGTATAGTTTAAGTAGACGTGATTATTGACTATCAGTACAGAGATTGTACCCGGGTAGACATATAGTTATAATAAATTACCCGGATAACTGGGTAATTTAATAATACCCGGGTAATGATTTTCTTGACGGATAAAATCTCTACAGCTGATAAATTTTTTGGGAAGGTCTTTTTTTTTAGAGTTTGGTTAGAATTTAATACTAGAGCTGTTAATAAAGAAGTATATGTGGATTTTAGTAGGGCTTATATTTTTCAAATCGAGATCCAAAATTTCAGCATCACGGCAAAGAATGGTTTAGTCTGTGACTCAACTTTTTAAGACGAAGTTTAGTTCTAGTAATATGAGTATTACTCTACTAACAAATTATAATAAATTTTTTAATATAATTTTACTGTCCATAATAGTGAACAGAAAAAAAATTTTATATACATCGGTGACCTTTGTTGGAGGGTATGAACACAAAAAAGGGTACAAATTTGATTGGCTAGGAATTTAATATCACAGTATCGGTATACATCAAAATCGGGCACAGATTCACCATTTTTTATCAAAATTGATTTTCATCATGTCAAAAAAAAGAATTTGGGAAACCGATCATGGTGCGTAGATTAATATTGTCAATTGTCAAATATCATTCAATAGTTTAAGCATTTCCAGAAATGCCAATATATTAATTACAATAAATAGACTTAACGCTACCTACCAGAATTTCTGACGAGTCTGATAAGTGGAAAAGAATTCGATGCGATGAAGTTCAAGGTAAATTAATTCTATAAGAAAAATTAATAGTATTATCTAAATATTAACTAAATTATAAATTGTAGATATTGAGAATTTCTATGAGGATATTATCAAGCAAATTTCATGTCATAATAACAATGATACAATACCCATCATTATTGATACAATGTTGAATTCAAAATGTTGTGCCAGATGCATTTTTAGGTTCTTAAATGTCCATGATTATAAAATCTACTCTGCATCAGAAGAAGTATGCGTAAATTTTCATATTTTCTTTAAGTAAAAGTTGTAATTCAAACTTAATATTCCTAAATTTCTAGGCTTTACTCAGGCTTATTAGTCGCATTCGTGAAGATTCACTCAAATTGATCGATCCTAGATTAATTTCATCTATTAAACATTCTTTTACTGAAATAGTTTCATGTGAACCTCAAGATAAACCTATTTGTGTTACATGCTTCGACCTACTTTATCAAGCGGATACTATTGAGTGTGTTTGGCCAATTTACCAAAGCATTTTAGCTCATAATTTCGATGTGAAAGATTTTAATCTATCTATTACTATGCCTATTGGTATATTGGTAAATAATCATTCAATGGTAGTTTGGATTCGAAAAACGTGCCAGTAAGTTATATCATAAAAAAGATTTTTATATTAATGATGTAACTTTTAAACTTATTTTTTATTTGAAAATTAAGTGATTTAAAAGTCCAATGCTCTTTGACTAAATTAGTGGACTTGAAAGAAATTTTCAAGCCATTATTAGGTTGGGGTATTGAAAAACAATCAGGATTGAAATATAAATGTCAAAGCCAATTTAGCATATCTATAGAATATTATCATGAAGAAACGCAGAGAATTCACATGTTTCTGACAAAAATACCCTCTGCTGGATTTGGAATTAAAAAGACTCGTGTCAAAGTAAAATTTGGATTATTAATAATTTCAATGTTAATGTTTGTAGATTCAGTTTATTAATTCTTAATATTTTATAGGGCAAACATATTCGGACGGGAGATTCACGTCCAAACATAATTAACGCTTTACAAAAAGTATCAGATGAAGAATTTTTAAAGTATGTTGTAAAAGATGAAAAAATGGCGTTTGAAAGCCTTGGTTTAAATGATTTAATATATTTCTTAAATTCCCAAAAGAATGTGTAACAATTGTCCACCATCTGTGAAAGAACGATGGAAGCATAAACCGCCAATATTGGAGCACGCAACTGTTTATGTTGGGGGTTTGTAAATTGCATTTAAAATTGTTTATAATTTGTTTTTTTTTTTTTTTTTTTTTTACAAATTGTTGCATTTTAAAATATTGATATTCACTTTTATCAATTAGGGAGGTATAATAAATTTTCACGAGATGTTAGTCAAACCCCATGGATTATCAATGGCGTTAAATTGGCACCAACTTCTGTTTCCGAATGCATTGGAGAAAAAATACGCGAACTACTTAGGTGTGATGGTAGGTTTATGAGGGTTTTTTTAAAAAAAAATTGGGTCATTTTCCTATAAATTGATAAAGTTCTCACTATGAATTTTGTTTTTTTTTTAAAAAGATTATAATTTTGTGCCAGCAGGTCGGGAGGATTCTAATGTGCGTATGTTGGGTAGTGGTAGACCATTTTTCATGGAGATAATCAATCCCCGGAATCCATTTCCATCTCAAAAAGCTCTAAATGCTGTACAAGAAGAAATAAATAAGGAAAGTACGGAGTTGGTGCGGTGCCATAGATTAACAAATATAACCAAGTATGTAGCTATGTAATAAAACAATTCATTTATAATTGTGTTTAAAAATTTTTTTCAAAAAAGTAAACAGGATTTATCTATTATTAAAGAAGGTGAAGAAACGAAAACAAAAACATATAGGTTAGTCTTTGTCGTAGATTATTATTACGTAGTTTTAGACAAAATTGCCTACTGCCAATATTTAATTTAGACTAGCTTTGTTTTATTTCTGGAAAGCTAACATTTCTCAAATATTTTTCTAATATGAATACTACAAATTATTATTATTATTATTATGATTATTTTGTTCAAAAAGTGCATTGGTTTGGATTTCTAAAAAAATAACATCTGAAATAATTGACGAGATAAACAAGCTTCGTGATGGATTTATTATCGAACAGCAAACACCAATTCGTGTTTTACATAGGTATGATTAACGTTCATATGAAAATTTTTTGTATCCTATTTCGCTCAATTTTCATTATTGTTAATTAGACGTTCACCAGCAGTACGTACTAAAAAGATACATTATATTTTTGCTGAACAAATGGATGATAATTTTCTAACCTTAAAAATGAAAACTGAAGCTGGAACGTATCCTATTTTAATTCACTTTTTTTTTTTTTTTTTTTTAGGAATAAAATAATATTCGCCCATTCCTTAACTATTTTTAATTGTGATTTTTTTTCGCAGATATATTAAAGAATTTTTCCATGGAGATTTGGGAAGAACTGTTCCAAATTTTGGGGATATGATCGGATGTCATGCAGATATTTTAGCTTTGGATGTGTTAGAAGTTGATTTGGAGTGGCCAATTCAATGAATTATCAAGATTCAAAATAGTTTGACTATTAAGAAGTTGTCTAATAGATCACTGCTCCCCTTCATGGTTATTTACCATCATGTGATTGTAATTACTGTTACGGTAAATTTAATTACTATTACATATGTTGCAGGTCAAAGCTAAGTCTGGAAAATAATAAATAAACAATAAACTTGAAAGCTCAATGTTTGGTTTTCCCTTGGCGTCACACAAATTTAAATTTCACAGCACTGGACTTTGAAAATTGAGCACGATCAGGGTTATATAGCATACTGATCGTAATCTGCTTCAATTACTTAAAATAATTGTAAGTGTTGTCTGGTACTGTGAAATTTAGTTTTCTCTTGATAGCATTCATATTTAAGTACCGAAGATAAAGACCTTGAACATGAAGGATTCCTTATTTCACATAGTCAAACCGTCCTGCTTATCAACAAATTTATCTTACCGGGCAAAATTTGGTTAAAACTAGTAAAATTTGCAAACGTAAAGCATTTTTGAACGTTCTGAACTCATGTAAGCAAGTTGAAACAATGTATTCTGCACTATGCTTCTATGTGTACGAGAGATACAAGTATGGTTAAGTTTTAGCTTCACAAGCCATATACGTAACAACTTTTTCTTTTAAACTAAATAAAGATATAATAGAAGTTTGTGACTTTATTAATCATTCGCTTTAATAGTATATTACCGTAAGTGTAGCCACCGTAAGTGCATTTTCTCCCTATAAGTCAGATCATTTAAATCAGGTCATTTGACCAAAATATAACTTTCATAATAATGTGCCTAAGACATTATTACACATTATAGTTAGACACCTCTATAAATGCACATTCCCCCCGACGAGTGCACTTATAGAGGGCCGGTAAACCTGCAGAAACGTTTCGCGTTGCGGCATGTACTCCGCGTTTTAGTTTTTATATCACGAAGCCAAATAAATACCTTCAAACTAAGGCTGTCATACTGTAACTGCAAGACCGAAGCCTAAAAGGCAAGGAAAAATAATAAATCAATAGTTTACGATAATGATTACCTCACGTATTACCTTGTTAGGTCTAAAACGTGGTTATGCACTCTGTATCGCAAAGTGGATTTCGCGTAATAAACAGCATGTCTTAAATAATTCTCGTTTCATATATCGGGTTGTAGTCTATGTTAGTGTTGTCGCGGAACAGCTCTGGACAAATTGTGGACAATTGTGAACAATTCTGGACAAAAAAAACAAATCTAAATTACTCAAAATTTTATGAAGATAACCTATTTTAGTCTTTTAAGTAAAAATATTCAGATCTATAAAAAATATAGTCATGTCTTTTTTATTAAATTTTAAAGACTTAATATTCTTTGGACAATTGTGAACACTGTGGACATTTGGACGTGGACATGGGCAAAAAAATTCTTGGATATAGTAGACGTGACAACACTGGAATCTATGTCTGATTTGAAGCTAAATTGACGGTTTACGACGGTTTGAGGGATAGTAACCTCAAATTATTTCTGCAAAATTTTTTTTTGTTAAAATTAGAATATAGTATAGCAGTTATTAGCATGCCATTATACAGTATATAGTATGCCAATTGAGCTATATCGATACCTATAGTAGGGATCTGCACTGGTCTAAAAATTTGTACTTTTGCCGACCCGCACGGCCCGCAAAATAAAGTTTACTATGTTTTTTAAAAGTTCGGCCCGCAATTTACTATGTTCTTGACACACCAGGCCCGCAATTTTGAGAGGTTTTTAAAATTTTCAAATGTCAGCCCAGCCCGTGCAGGCCTCTAACCTATAGCATGTCTAAATTCCAAATAGATATTAGACATGCTATATATATAGAGCATTTTTATTTTTTTTTTAATTTAATATTAATGGTGAGGTATATAGCATTTTTATATTTAAGTCTAAAAATCACTTTTAATTTTATTTCTTGATTTAGATTTAATAAATTACAAAATTTTGTATAATAAAAATACAAATTTGCTACAGTATAACAATTAATTTTTGTTTTTTTTTTAAAAACTGCTATAAACACATATGGGGTCTTTGCCTTGAAAATCAAATATATGATATATGATTTACTATGTCCCATAACTTGATTTTCAAGGCAAAGACCCCATATAGTTTATATTATCTCAACCAAAAGTTAAACTTACCTAGTTTTACTTTGCAGTTGCTATAATTTTCACTTGCAGTCAGAGTGAATTATTAAACTAGTATGCTGTATTTAGATGCAAACTGTCTAGCAATATTTAGTCAAAACTTACTAAAAATTTTTAATTTTTAAACTTACCAGTTGGTTATTATAAATTTTGTCAAGATTCTCACCCTATAATAAAATCAGGATTGGTCAAATCACTGGTTAACTACTGGTCTGGTTAAATTGGTTAAATGGTCAAGTCAAATTGATCAAATGGTCTAGTCTATTAAATAAATTCATTTAGTATATGAAATAAATAAATAAATATATATATATATACAGTTATTATAAATCAAACCAGTGGTGTTTAACACCAGTAATATATGTAGATCAAAACAATTTTTATTAAATTAAAAATTAAACTTCTTTAATAT